CCCGAAGACTTAGCTCTGCTTCTTGCCTGAGAAGGACCAACACCAGACGCTCTCTCATATGCAGCTTTCTTCTTCTCCATATAAACCTTGGACATAGACTGAGGGGATGCACGCTCTGTTGGTTTACAACCATACTTCTCACGCATTTCATGCAACAAATCTCTTGACATTGTGAAACTGAAACAATTGGAACTCAAAACTAAAAATTAGTTTGTTAGTGTTCCAAAAGCTAAGAAAAATGAGCAAATGCAAAAGAAATGAGTGGAGATACAAACGCTTATCACTCTCGGTCGAGTGAGCAAATGAGTGCCCGGTCGAGTGAACCAGTTGTGTCTTGAACGGTCGAGTAAGGTGCCCGAGTAGTTCGGTCGAGTGAGTCGGAGCGTGGATAGCGTCGACGGCTTCTTATGATATCTCCGGTGGTCGGGTGGCGGAGCGGAACGAGTGAGAGTCGAGCGCGTTACCGTCGAGTGAAGCTATCCGGTCGAGTAGCACCGGTGAAGACAACGTGGGTCGAGTACTTGTCGGTTGGGGATGGAGCTCGAGTGGTGGTGGTGATGAGATGGTGGGTCGAGTGGAGTCCGTGGAGTGAAGCGAGAAACAGGACGGTGGTTTGACTTGTCGGTCGAGTGAAGAGGCGAGAGATGGAGAATCGGCGAGCTCGAGTGAACACGGTCGAGTGAACAGGATGCTCCGACGGTTGGTCGAGTGGTGAAGCTTCCGTCGAGTGAGTCAAGCGTCGGTCACGGCGAGCTCTTAATCGAGTGAAGGTTGAGAGGATATAGTCGAGTGAGAGAGAGATGAGAGAAAGGATGTGATGAAATCGATGAAAGGAGTGAAAATGGTTGAGTGATGAAATCGAGTGAGGGTGATGAGAGAGTGATTAGGTCGAGTGAAGATAAGGTATGTGTGGTTTGGGTGTGTCGAGTGAGTTTTTTTTTTTTTTTTTTTTTTTTTTTTTTTTTTTTTTTTTTTTTTTTTTTTTTTTTTTTTTTTTTAAACTCAACTCAATCACTCCCAAATAATTAACTCCCCCCTTCTATATTTTTCACTTATCGTACTCGATTCTGTATCCCCACCTCACTCTGTTTTGCATTACTCCTTCTATCTGAAATCCTGACCAACAGAAAACCAAAAACAAAAATCAAAAACACAAAAAAAAATCCTAAAACATATGTACAGGGATACCTTTGGGACTTCCTCACAAGTGAGCTTGTTTAAAGTCACTAAGCTTGACTTTTATGCCTTTTAGGCTTTGGGGGGCTCATAGAGAGGTATGGAGGACCCCTCTGGTGTCTCTTGATCAGCTAGGTAACGCTTGACACGTTGACCGTTCACAGTGAACTCGCTGCCATCTTTGTTCAGAAGAGTGATCGCACCAAATGGCAAAACATCTTTGATTTCAAATGGTCCAGACCATCTAGACTTGAGCTTTCCAGGGAACAGTTTTAGTCTGGAATTGAACAGCAAGACGTGATCTCCAGCCTTAAGCTCCTTAACGACAATCTTCTTATCATGAAAAGCCTTGGTTCTCTCCTTATAGATTTTGGAACTCTCGAAGGCATCAAGTCTGATTTCCTCAAGTTCATGGATGTCAAGAACTCTCTTTGCCTGCGCTGCATCAATGTCCAAGTTCAGAAGCTTGATAGCCCAAAGCGCCTTATACTCAATCTCCACAGGGAGATGACATGCTTTACCATACACCAACTGAAAAGGCGTTCTTCCTATTGGTGTCTTGAAAGCTGTCCTATACGCCCATAGAGTGTCATCCAACTTGGTAGACCAATCTCTCTTCGAAGCCCCAACAACTCTTGACAAGATTCCTTTTATCTGCTTGTTGGAGACCTCAACTTGTCCACATGTCTGGAGATGGTAGGCTGTAGACACCTTATGCTTCACACCATACTTCTTCAACATGCTTTCAAAAACCTTGTTGATGAAGTGTGTACCACCATCACTGATCACTGCTCTCGGTACTCCATACCTGGGAAAGATGATGCTCTTGAACAGTTTCAGAACAACCTTATGATCGTTGGTGGGACTTGCAATGGCTTCAACCCATTTTGAAACATAATCAACTGCGACCAGAATGTAGGCATTGCCGTTTGATGGAGGGTTGAACGGTCTCATGAAATCAATTCCCCAAACATCAAAAATTTCTACTTCCAAAATCGGGTTCTGAGGCATCTCATTCCTTCTGTTGATGTTACCCATCCTCTGGCAGGCGTCACACTTGGTGATGAAACTGTTTGTATCCTTGAACAACGTTGGCCACCAAAGGCCTGCTTGCAGAACCTTCTGAACTGTCTTGAATGTAGCGAAGTGTCCTCCATATGTGGATCCATGACAGTGCTCAAGTACTCCCTGTACTTCTCCTTCTGCTATGCATCTCCTAAACAGTCCATCTGAACCCCTCTTGTACAGGTAAGGTTCATCCCAGAAGTAGTGGTTGACATCTCTGAAAAACTTCTTTTTCCTATAAGGATCCATGTCTGCAGGAATCTCTCCACAGACTTTGTAGTTAACCACATCCGCATACCAAGGCATACTCTCTGAATTGACTGCTAGACATTGAAGCTCCTTCATAGCCATTCCTGTTTGATGCATCTTCTTGCATATCTCAACAACCATGAGATGTTCTTCAGGCATAGAGTCATCAATAGGGATTGGATCTTCTATTCTCATTCTGGACAGGTGATCAGCAACGCCGTTCTCTATCCCCTTCTTGTCAACAATCTCCATATCAAACTCCTGGAGTAGAAGTATCCATCTCAGCAGTCTTGGTTTGGTATCCTTCTTGGAGTATATATGTCTAAGCGCAGCATGGTCTGTGTAGACTACCACTTTTGATCCCACCAAGTAACTTCTGAATTTCTCAAACGCAAAGACTACAGCCAAGAGCTCTTTCTCTGTTGTTGCATATCTCCCTTGTGTCTCATCAAGGGTTCTGCTCGCATAGTAGATGACATGCAGTTTCTTCTCTATTCGCTGTCCCAACACAGCCCCTACTGCATAATCTGAGGCATCACACATTATCTCAAAAGGATGATCCCAGTCTGGAGCTTGGACTATTGGTGCTGAGACTAACGCTTCCTTGATCTTGTTGAAAGCTTCCAGACAGCTCTCATCAACAACAAACTCGACCTCCTTGCACAGCAGTCTTGTAAGGGGTCTTGCAATTTTTGAGAAGTCCTTGATGAATCTT